CTTTAAATTTTGCCCATGTGATTGCTGGGTTTAGCTTAATAATTAATAACTATATCATAATACAAAAGTACTTACCACCTACAAGATCAACAATACAAAAATGGCTTTATAAAAAAAATACCAATATGGCACTTAATCAATATAAGATCGGTTAATCTATAAAATGCATAAAGCAAATTTATAAGTTGGATTTCTCCCATTTTGAATTTGCTGCCTTTTCATTAATTCACAAAAGGATGTTACAGTCCTTTAACAATGACACAATTAAATGGGTCGGTGCGTTTAGGCTAGGAAGCATCTTAATTGCCACGACCGCAAACGGGAGATGGCCCAAATTCATAGATCCATTTGGGATTTTTAAAGTCTCAAATCTCTTTCCTTTTAAAAATATCTATTATCTAATCCTAAATTAGCCTAATTAAATAAGTAAGGTAATGATGCACTTAAAATTAAAAAAAAATCAATTTATGTCGCTACATGGTGTGAATACATTTCTCCACACATAACTGTACTCTCGAAGTTATAACTTGAATTCATAGATCATATTTTGGTTTTCACCATAAGGTTAAGATCATACCAAAACAACTACAAGCTAAGTTCGATGGGGACTCTGAAAAGAACACGAGCGACCCCTGTTTCGAGGTCAGTTTGCGACAATATCAATTATCCTATCTAACATAGTTTGTATTTTACCCATACCACAAAAAATTGGGTAGACAATCAAAATCATGCCCATACATTATCGGGTTTTCATATCTACGGTTATCCATGGGTAATAATTTACTTTATAACTCCAACGAACATGCTAACATTTACACATATACTGGCATTGCATACGTGTAAAAAAATACGACAATACATCAATAGAATGAACAAAAAAAGTTTGAATTAATATAAATACGTGAAACTACGGGATTAATTGCATGGTTGGTCACTGAAATTACAAAAACCGTTCATATTTGGTCACTGGAAATATTTAAATCCAATCTTGGTCACTCAAATTAGTTAAATGGTTCAAGTTTGGTCACTCTCCGTTACCTTCCGTTAGTTTCTGTTAACGCCGTCAGTTATTTGCTGACGTGGCTAACAGACTCACTTAGTCACCTATTTTTAATAAAAATAAAATAAACTCCAATCCTGCCACGTCATAAAAAACCTGCCACATCATAACAACCTAACCAATGTGACCCGACCCATTAACCCATAATCCAACCTACCCCAAATTCAAACCCAAAATTTACCAATCTGCAAAATCCCTCAGCAGCCGATGGAGAAGTCAGAAGAGTACAGCAAGAAGCTATTACCGTTGTCCTCGTCCAATCCGCCGGTTTCCCTCTTCTCCTCCCTCTCCTATTCTTCTTCCTTCGCATAACATCATGAATTCATCATCGTGGCCAATCTAACGAGCGCAGGTTCGAGACGGCGAGATGACGGCCTACTTCCTGGCCTCCACCCCTCTGCTTTAAGGATGGATTCGCGGCGGAGATCGGTGGGGCGGGCAGCAGCCGGGTAGGTTACTTAGCGTTTTGGACAGGCGGAATCGTGCCGGAAGGATGGGGGAATTTGGTGGGGGTTGAAGCTGCTTGGGCGAAGAATATCTTCTCCTCGACGATGTTGGCGGCTGGGAGTCGGGGGAGTGGGGAAGAAGAAGGAATCGATGGCGGAAGGGGAGGATTAGAAGAAGAGCCTGTAATGGTTTGCGCTCAGCTGCTGCGGATCTTCAGGTCTGTACACCAAGACACGCGCTTCCAATCCCAGGTGCCTCTCTTTCTCTCTGTCTCTCCCCTTGCTGAATTTCCATTCTGTTTTGGGTTGGCTAGCTTGAATGCAGCAACCACAACCACAGGAACTCAGGAAGCAATCTAGATTTCGTTTCCTTTTTGGTAGTTGTCCTTGGTGAACTCCAGCCTCAGATGTACCAATTGGATGACCGTCGACCTCGGATGTACGACCGGATGAGTTGCGACGGGATGCGGCGGCGATCAATTGATATGGAGAAGGAGCCGCGGACGACGACAGCGGCGGGGCGGATGAAGAGGAGGAAGTTGAGGAATTAGGGTTGGGTACTTGGGTCACGGTTGGGGTGGGTAACTAATGTGGTGGGTTTTGCTGATTGTATGGGTTGAGTTTTTTTTTTTTTTAATTTAAATTGGGTGAATCAGCACTTCTGTTAGCCACGTCAGCAAATAACTGACGGTGTTAACTGAAACTAACGGAAGGTAACGGAGAGTGACCAAATTTGAACCATTTAACTTATTTGAGTGACCAAGATTGGATTTAAATATTTCCAGTGACCAAACATGAACGTTTTTTGTAATCTCAGTGACCTACCATGCAATTAACCCCGTGAAACTACTATATATGTATAATAAATATCAAATATGTTAAAAAATTACGATAATTTAAATAGAATACATATGTATGTGTATAATCAGGTAATTGAAATTTAGTAGTTAATTACTTTCAAAATTTATGTAACTTCTTCACAAAAGGTAGGTTTAACCTCGCATAAAAAGTTGGGTTTACCTATTTTGACAGTTGTTTCTGATTTAGATTGATTCAATTTATTATCTATATATTTTCATTACATATATTAATTTTGTACATATTTTGTAAAATCATACCGTAGTTGACATCAAAAAGAGCTTTTTCCGGTCAAATCATAAAAATTGTTACTAAACAAGGTTTTTGTTTTCAGGTTTAATTTTCAAAAGCCTCTAGAATTCTCAGCTAAACATATTGTTTTTTCTTCACAAAATGGTAGTTTCCTTTGTTGAGGTTTTGTTTACTGTTATCCTCACAAAACAAAAAGCATAATGGTTAATAAACGACTTGCTTTCCGTGTTACTATGCTTCCTTATCCTCATTGACCCATAAATTAATTCCTTTCGTTTTTCCCTTTCCTTATGCCGAATTTGAGTCTGTGAGTGACATTTTCCCCTTCTTTCTAATCTGCTGGAGTCTCTGTTGGTCGAATTCTCTTTCCTAACTCCTAGATGCATTCAACCTTTTTAGGTGAGATTAAGCAATTGCAATAGCATTTGTATTTTATTTTTAGCTATATAAGCTAACTATATCATAGTTCCAATTCAATTTTGGGGGTTAGGTGTGTAACAATTAAATTTGGAGATGAAGCTTTGAAATTGGGAGGAGTCTGGCTCCTTGACCTATTGTGGGAAGGATTACAACAATTTTGTTGAATATGTTATCAAACTTTTCTTTTGGTGCGAGATTTAAAAAAATATGTCTCTTTCAGTCATCGTGGAATCATAAGATTTTCATGATATTTAGCTTTCAGGTTATTGAAGTACTTGACTTATGCCCATAATATTATGTGCTTATGAAGTGAATTTGGAACTTACCAAGCAAAATATAAGATTTGGAACTAGCAATTTGGTCCTTCATTTGTGATTATCACTGTGCAATGTGCCCTATCAAATCATACAATATCATATCTATAACCTATGTCGTGATCAACAAATATGATAATTGATTTCTTTGTGAACATATATATTGCTAATTAACGTGTATATGATATATATATATACAATTAGCAACACAAATAAAATACTTAATAATTAAATACCTGGCCAACGGGCCGGGCCCGACGCTGGTATAGATATGACAGAGATGTGCAATTTTGTTGAATTGTAATAAACTTGTTGGATTATCAACAAATTTTTTTTTATTTTAAATATTTGTAAGGAACTCTAAATTTTTTAAGAACCAAAAAAAATCTAAATTTGGCGTCCATACCAACTCCCTAATCCATTAACTTCCGAATATGATTTTTTTTTTCTTGAGCTGAGGATACATCAACTTCACAAGACCAGGGCAAGGGAATGTATGAATATTCAGTAATTCAAAAGCAACGGCTATTCTTCTCGTCCAATCCATAGGGTTTCGATTCCCTCTCTAATAATTTCGAGGATATAAGATGGAATGGAGCCTCCCCCACTCCCTCTCTCTCTATGATCCTTTCGAAAGCAATCACACGCAAGAATAAAAGAGATGATGGATTTGTAATTGTGTAACTCTAGAGTCTACATTTGAATATTAACCATGTAAATATAGAGACATAGATCTAGAGAGGAGGAATAGACATCTCATAAGTCATATGGTCAAATATTCGAGGCGGTTATGGGGTGTGTAGATTGCGTTTTGGCTTGAAAATTGAAATTGACTCATCTACTTAATTATTAACGGGTTTGTATAATTATGATATGTCACTCACTTATCTATTTCTCTTTCGGGTTGGATTGGATGGCTAGCAGGTGATGTGACTGGTTTGCGGGTAAAATCAATTCTCACATTGGCTATAATTAGATTGGTTAATAAAAAAATTAACCAAATTAGAAATATTTTAGCAATTTAGATACATGTCGCTTTGTCTCCATAGCATTGGCCGGTACTTGTAATTTGCAAATTTTCTATAACTCATATATATCACCTTAACCCTCTGTTCCCGAAGGAAGGGAGGAAAAGGAGGGGAGGTGAAGGAAAATTAGGAGGGGAGGGGAGGGGAGGGGAGATTTGGAGGTGAAGGAAATTGGAAGGAAAATGATGTTTTATGGAGGAAAGTGGGAAGGAAAATGTGTATTGGGAATTGTAATAGATATGTTATTTTATTGAGTATATATTAGTAAAATAATTTGATTATATATTGATATTATTTTCATTGTATATATTAGTAAAATAATTTGATTTAAAGTCGAACCACCAACATGGTATGATTTCACAAATATAGGATAAAAAATATAATTAAATATTCAATAAATAGATAAGTATCTAATTATTTTCATTGTATAAATTAGTGGGCTTCTAAGATCAAATTATAATGCTAATTTCCCTCTCCCTATTAAAATAACCTTAATTCTATTACCCAAAAAAAACCCTTAATTCTACCCCTTATATTGTGTACAGAATGATAAAGCCAACCATTCTCCATTACTCTCTCTCTCGTCTCTTCTCAACAAAAAGAAAAAACAATTACCTTATTTTCTAATGCTCTTCTTCTTTCTTTTTGCCTTCGTTACTCCATAACAAATTCGATCTCTTTTCCTCCATTCATTCTTCTTCTTTTCTCGGTCCTTCACTGACCATCCATTTTTCTATGGGAAACAAGAACAGTTGAGAAAATGACAGTAGACCCGCTGCCTTCTTTCTCTTTAACCGGGAGAGTCTCAATTCGCAAGATCTTGGCCTGCATGGTTTTTTCCTTTTGTGCTTTTGTTGGTTTGAATCGAGATATTTTTTGTTTTGGGTCCTGATCAGGTGGAGGAAACAAGAAAAGCGACGACAGCCTCGCCGCCGACCGACGAAGAACTGCGGTAGAACTTATTTGTTCATTTTCTTCTTTTTCTTTGAATTAGATCTTGATTGTTTTTCTTTTTCCAGGTGATTTCAACCATGAGCGCACTGGATAAATTTTCTGGTTCTATTTCTGCAGATTGGGGGGAGAACGAAGAAGCTGATAGAGGAGAGAGATGGTGGAGGAGAGAGATAGCAAAACAGAAAAATAAAAAAAGCCCCGTTTTTTTTTGCTTTCTCTCCAATTTGGAGGGGTGGGTTAAACAGTACCCGACCCCTCCCCTTCCCCTCACCTCATCACTGTACAACGCTTCGGAAACGGGGGAAATTCTATTGGAACCCGTGCTTCCCCCCTTTTCCTTTCCGTTCCCTCCTTTTCCCTCGCAAAGAAACAGAGGGTAAATAAAGTATTATGGAACACAGCAAAAACAAGTTATTAACCGCATATCCCTACAGACAGTTTGATACCAAATGGATCGAGAATTCATTTCATTGTAAAATGAATTACCATGTAGAATTCATTCTCAAATGAAATCCTATGTTTGGTATGTTATATTCAAATCTTTAGAAATAAAATGAAGTGTTGTGTAGAATTCATTGTCAAATGAATTCTTGTGTTTGTTATGCCATATGTATAAGTAATTTAGTTAATAAAAGAGGATAAACATGTCATTCTGTTATAATTAGTAAATTCTTGTGGAATTCATTTGGAAATTCCATCTCAATTCCTCGGAATTGCTATAACTAGTTCCAATTTCGTAGAATTCAAAATTTAGAATTGAAAATGAATTCTTTTTAATACCAAACACGAAAAATATTTCATTTCAAAATGAATTCTTTAAAATTTATAGAATTCATTTATACCAAACGATAAAAATTGAAGCTTGTTGCAACTTTGATACAATTAATTGTATGTACTTTGCATTCTAATATATATCTAACGAACATTAGATAATATAATAATCGATAGTATCAGTTCAAAAATAATCTTTGTGTCCCGATTGTTGAAATGGATGATGATTGTGATTTGGCTAGACGATATGAGGACCCTTTGACATATGAACATATAACCAATCTTTGCATTGTCAAAAATGGGATGCGGATCATTTAGTTGACCTGCAAACCATTATTGAAAACTAACCGCCAACATCGTAGTCAGTATGGGTGCAAAAACACCAGTTTTTAAAAACTGATTTCTCTCATGAAATCAAACCGATAAAAGAATTCTATATTTAAATCGTCTATCATTCTTGTTCTTTTAGACTAATTTAGCCAAAGGTTTCTCGAGATAGCATGACGAGATTTTCATGTGTCAAGATGATGGATGCCATGTCAGCATAATATGGTTTTGGTAGGGCCAGTTGTCCTTATGTGGCACTAGAGACATGTATATGCCATGTCAGCGTAAATAATTGCGTATATTCTGGGATAGCCATGTGAATTGCCAAACTCTGCCTCGTGGATGCCTTTCTTTCTTCCCAACTGAGGTGAATAGTGATCGATGTTGGAGCACTGAGAAGTTGATTTTTCCCCCAAAAGGTTTCAACTTGCCTTTGTCTCCAATCCCTGTCCAGGATTCCCATGCCATGAGATCTCATCTTACACATCTGACTTCTAACGAAATCTCTAAGGGTGTGTTTGGATAGAATGATTTGGATTTGGTATTTGTGATTTGGATATTAATTACGTTTGGTATTTGGATTTGTGTCAAATCCATTGTGTGATTTCCAAATACATGTCTAGTGTATTACTTGTCAATTTCAAATACATTTCAACAACTAGTGATTTGAAATACCTCCTAATAAAAAATTGGACCTATTTGTAAAATATTAAAAGTTTAGGTGGTATAGTGTGAGACAAAACATATAAAGGTACCAAGACATAATTTTACCATCAAAATTTCTGGACTTTTTTGTAAAATTTTAGAAGTTCAGGTACTAAATTGTAAGGAAAAATAAATTTGGGTACCAAACTGTAATTTACCAAAATTTGAAGTAAGTGACCAAAAAGTTCAGAGTTAAAATAAAAAAATTATGAAATTTCAAATACAAACAAAATACAAATGAGTATCCAAACGACGGATTTGAATTACATGTATTTCAAATCTTAGTATTTCAAATGCATGCATTTTAAAAATATTTTATTTTAAATACATTACATTTGAAATACACCTATTCAAATGGACCCTAACGGGATTCCATGCAATAACAATGACATTCAGATTGCATACTATGTAGCCCTCATGGAGGCGATTTCGAGAGAGAAATTAGTGACCATTCTGGACTTTTCGTTCTTTGTTCGCTTCCTGCCACTCCTTTCGAACATCCCACTTTCCTCTGGTATGAAAAAGGATTTATAGTTATGATTTATGAACGATAAGATGATTTTGAAATTAAGTTAATACCAAAGAGGTAATCAGTTTGTTGCAATAACTCAACTTGTTGAGAGATGTTGCTTTTGGATTTAAACATTAAAATTTTCACTTTATTGTGTTGTAAAATATAAACTAGGAATGTCATAATATATCATGATTACTACATATGATATCGGAAGCTATCATGAACCATTTTGTCCTAATAATTCAGATTGTTCGGAGATACCCAATATCTTACAAATATTCCACTAAACTATGAATATCGTAAGATATCACGAACCATTTTGTCCCAATTATTCATATTGTTCGAAGATACCCAATATCTTGGAAATATTCCACTAAACTATAAATGAGACCAAGTCCAAAAAAGTGAACTTGGAAGTTAAGCAATTGTTCATATGATCAGGTTCATGAACTGGGGTGAAGTTGTGGGATTCTGTTTTGCATGCATTCTACTTACCCATGCCTGGAATGGGAAGATAAAACCTTAAACAATATCAAGTTGCATTGTTGAAGAGAGTTAGAAGATGCATGAAAAGGAACAGACTTTATTTTTCATTATGGGAATATAAAAGAGTTGGAATATTGGAATCTACTCATCGGTTGGCAGCAGTTTCAAAAGAGAAAAAAAGAGGCCCTACTGCTGAATTTGTGCCACTCTATCCATCAATCTAACATAAAGCTCTCTCTTTTATCTCAGTGTTGTCGAGCCCTAATTAAGTCGGTCGGTTGGACTAGTTTCGATTAGAGTCGGTGTTGAAAATGGTCCGTAAAAACTCAACTTATTTCCAAATAGGTAACCAGTCAAAACCAATAGTTTGATTGAATTGACTAGTTTTCGGACTCTTACAAAATGTTATCGATTTGGTTCTCACTCAAACCCTATTATGAAAAACGAAGTTTATATATGAAGTTTTTAGGGTCATATGATATTTTAGCTATTAAATTATTGTATAGTACCTGCCAAATTATATTTAAATTATTAAAAGCTTAAATCATTACCATATATATGTACATATTTTTATAATATATATAAATTGACTTAAATAAATTGTACCCAATCAGACAATTGAACCTTAAATTATTTGCTTGACCGACTCAACGGATTAAACCAGTTTGACAACCTTATTTTAGAAGACAGGCTAGTTCTGTTGGAGGAAGATTGATGGTGCTCTTGCTACCTAGCTCAGCTTCTTGCGTCGGCCCGCCGCAGCCCAATATTGTTCCTGTTAACTGTCATAGAATATAACATTCCCTTTCCACCTTTTTCCTGGTGCGGATAACAAATAATGCCCAATAAAATAAAAGGAGACAAATGCAAAAGGTAAAGAGATATTTATTAAGGAGCTTTGCTAAGAGCCTAAGATACCCTTCGGATCCATAAAACATCGGATATTCATGAGGCGAGTACATTGTGATTGTAAACGAAGTCCAGTTTTATGAATAATCGACAAATTTATTGTAGCATGTGAATAGAGTTTTCAAAAGGATAGGACTCTGTTAGATTTATAATGTGCCTCCTTTAACGAATTACTAAACTCAAATCTCGATGAATTCAACACCTAAATCGTCTTAATGAGAAGTTTATTATGAAAATTGTCTGACATGTTTGATTCTTTTTTTCATTTCTCTCTTTTTCTCTCCGACACATGGCTGGGAGGCCAGAAGAGAGAATCGAATGAGCACATTGTGTCGTTTGTTACTGTTTGTTTTTACTACTAGATCAGAAATGCATATACACAATAATGACTCCAAAAGCTGAGAGAGAGAGAGAGAGAGAGAGGGGTTGACAGTGGGATGAATATATGAATCTACTGCTTTTCATGAATTATTGCAGAGACAGATAGAGATAGAGAATCAGATGGCAAGTGAAAGAAGGCAGGCAGGCTTTGGAGGAGTAGAGAATTTGCCCAATGGATGTGCATTATAAGGTATTGATTCCCACCACCCCACACTCTTTTTTCACTGCACTATGTGTAACCTCAACTGGATACAACCTTCCTCCTTTAAGGAGAAGGTTTAACTCCCACAACTTGGAGACATTAGATCTCACTCTGAATATCTGGTCATCTTGGGTTGGATGACACATTTCCCTCTCGAGAGTCGTGTCTGATTATCTCGCATGCGTGGCATCCATATCAACATTGTGCGACCAATGGAGAGACGAGAAAAAAAGCTAGAAAGAAGATAGCTAAGTTAAATGTTTGATACGCAGTTTCCTTACACGCTCTCTTAAGTGAAAGTCTAGTTACTAAACCGTAATTTTGCATTTTCCCGTCATTTGAAAGCATTTGCTTTTGGGGTTTAAAAGGTCGGTACTTACATATCTGTCGAGTATCAATTCATTTCGATAACTAAATCTAATAGATATTATCCATATCTGCTACGTTATCCACCATTAAGATAATCATTCATTTCCAAACACTAGTTGAAAGTAACCCAAAAGTGAGTCTTTGCTTAATTACACAACTCTCTTAGAGAATCACATACCAAGTTTTACCCTTTTTGTTTCTTCCCCCTCATTTTCTAAGGTTGCATGAAACTGACCATCTTTTCATACTTCCCTCTCAAGTCTCAACCAACCCTTTTATTTATGAAACATGCCTTCCCACTGCTTGATAATATGAATCAAGCCGGGTCAACAAAAAGTTAAAAGAGCAAGGTTAACCATCAACATATCTCAACTTAAAGGTACCAAAATGGGATTTTATAATATAGGAGATTGAAAGATTCCATCATTATAATACAATGGTCCCATACATTTGGAAAGGTAGGGTGCAAAAACAAGTATATATAGGACTCCAAACTCAACCAACCAAAATTCATTCACCTTACATTTGCAAGCTCTCCTCTCCAAATATAGAACTCACTAGCAACCATTTTCATTTGCCTAATTAAGCCCTATTCTTTGAATTCTTCACATTCAAGCCCCTTCATTCTCTGTTAGAACAACAACAAGAAGAAGAACAGCAAGATGAGCTGGACAGGAGGTGACTGGATGTGTGGAGCATGCCAACACCAGAACTTCAAGAAGAGGGAATCCTGCCAACGGTGTGGGTACCCGAAATACGGCGGGCCTGATGTGGCAACATACCTGTACAACAGGACAGAGGTGTTGGCAGGGGACTGGTATTGCATTGGCATGAACTGTGGAGCACACAACTATGCCAGCAGGACCAGCTGCTACCGATGTGGCTCGATTAAGAACGACTATGGCGCTGCTGCTGCTGCTGCTTATGGGTCAGATTCCGGTGCCCCTCCTGGTTGGAAGTCTGGTGACTGGATCTGTGCTAGGTGGGTTTCTTGCCATCCAAGTAACCTCTTGTTTAGTTTCTTAAGCAATGTCATTCGATGAAAACTGCTAGGTGATCTCTAACATGGGTTTGGTTTTTGTGTGTTACAGGATGGGTTGTGGAACACATAATTTTGCTAGCAGGGGAGAATGCTTCAAATGCAGGACACCAAGGGAATATGGTAAGCAAGGACTTACCATTTTAAGTTCCCTTTACTAGCTCCATTCAAAATGAAATCACTTTATCACCTCACTTTAGTGGAGTCAGCCTAACACACACTTTTCATTTCATTTTCTGTGGTTTGCAGGTGGTGGAATGTAACCAGCAGAGAAATTGGAGGCTTAAGGCTTAACATGTACCAAACTCAACAACTTCCTTTGGTCTCTTTTTTCTTTCTTCTTCATCTTCATTTTGAAGGTTAATAAGCAGTTTTTTAGGTTAGGTTTTGATACCCATTTTCTAGCATTTGGATTCTGAGGGGGAAGGATGTGTCTTTCTTCTTTTGTAACTCTTGTAATGTACTTACACTGACTGTTACAAAAAGGAAAATGAAAAAGTTCCCATTTGGTTCCCATTTTCCTCTCATTAGCTGTTCTGCCACTTCCCAATTGCCAAAAGCTGTATTCTCCATCTCTTGGCTTATATGAGGAGGGTCCAAAGGAATGTAATGTGAGAGATTAGCTAGTGGCATCCCAAAGGTAATGAGATGGAAACTGATAAATCATTCATGGGTTCTTGATCATCCACATTGGACCACACTATGGGGGCAATGTCAGAGAGCTCATTTGGGTCCAAGCCCAGGAAAATAAAAGCCCATTTGGGAACATGGAGGAAGATTCAAGGGAATCAAGGTAGAAGATGAGGCAGAGTTGAACTTCAAAGGTGGAGTGGAGACTGGAGAGGTTCTGTTGTGTCTCAGGGCAATAATTTATGAACCCTTTACTCCTTTAGGCATCAAATCTGCAGGGAGGGACTCATTTTGTTTATACACAGACAGGGGGCTCACACCTCAATAATTATAAGTAGATAAGAACCGGATGCTTGTCAATTGCCACTTTCCATTTGCATTTCATTATCATGGGCAGGAGTTCTTATTTCCATTTGCATTTCATTATCATGGGCAGAAACTTCAATACATACAATTTTAGATCTAGAACGTTTAACATACATTATATATCCTAAATTAATCATAAAAAGCATGAGAAATATATAAACAAAATTAGATTCTTAGGGGAATTAGAATTAAAAAGGGGCATATATATTGATGTAATTGCAAAGTGGAATGGAAGTGTCATATTATTTTTACATTTTAGTGGAAGATAGAAATGGGATAGATAAAATGACATATGTACGTGATTGAGTATAGGTAGCATTATTACATGTGGCCGGGGTGGTTATGAGTATAGGTGTCAATCGGGCGGGTTCGGGCGGGTTCGGGCTGGGTTCAATCGGGTTTGGGTTCAAACGGGTTGCGGGTTAGTCGGGTTGCGGGTTCATCGGGTTCGGGTTCATCGGGTTCGGGTTCAAACGGGTTGCGGGTTCAATCGGGTTGCGGACAAATCGGGTTGCAGGTTCATCGGGTTTTGGGTCGGGCGGGTTACGGGCGGATCGGGTTTCGGGTTATTCGGGCCAGCGCATCAAGTAACTTAACTCATTACTCATTACCAACTTACACATTTTATTACACTAATTTAAAATATTTTCTCAACTTTTTAACCAATTTATTTCTACCTCATATATATATACTTTATTTTTTTGAAAAAAACTAGTCAAAATGTTAAATCAATTTGTATGACTTGCAAACTTGTTATGTAATTAATCATAATTGGTAAAGTATTATAGCTAATAGTAATGGTGATATCAATATTTGCAACCAAAAGACAACATTAATTGTTTATTCGATATTTTAGTATTAATTCAGTAGTAATTGGATTAAAGTATCTCGTTTAGTATAACCATGCCAATCTGGTATTTGGTGTGTGGTATTTGGCAAAAGCATAGTGATAAAAGGAGTTATTTCGAAATAACTCATTGCCCAAATAACTTCAGGGGTCGTTTGGATGGAGTATTTGTATGAGTTATTTGGGTTCAAATAACTCACAATGAGTTATTTGGACGCAAATAACTCGTTTAGCAACGTTTTACTGAAATGAGTTATTTGGACAATGAATTATTTACAAATAACTCAAAATGAGTTATTTGAAATAACTTATATCCATGTGTTATTTCGAAATAACTCGTTTTTATCACTCTGCTTTTACCAAATACCACATTTGCATGGTTCAACCAAACGAGATACTTTATTTCAATTATCACTGAAATACCACATGAACAATAAATGAGTTATTTGACTCAACAAATACCCCATTGACAATTAACCCATTCAAATACCACATGGTTCAATCAGTAAACTATTGCCAAACGAGTTATTTGTAAAATTGTTCGAATTATCCTAAAAATTGAACCATGAAAGATTAGCTATCACATTTAGTAAAATTATTGTGACTTCAATCATAACTTTCATAATAGCATATATCCTATACACTTAGCCTAACCCTCAATCAACAATGTTAAGTTAGTATATGTTGTTGATTGTATACCCTAAACCATCAATACATTATACACTAACCACATAACCTATACCCTATACCCTAACCATATGTCTTTGAGTTGTGATTTTGCTAGTATAGTTAATTTAAAAGTGAAATTCATACTTTGATTTTCAAAACATAGATAAAAAGTGATATTTGCTAATTGTTATACCCTAACCATATATCTTATACTTTACACCACATACCTTGTACCCTAACCACGTACCATAAACATAAATTAAAAAGGGATATCCTGCCGTTAAAGACTTAAAATGACTTCAAGTGAACATATGTTAATAAAAAACTTAGAACCGTCAAAACCATCAATATCTTATACCCTAACCATATACACCCTAAACCATATGTACCTTATACCCTATACCCTAACTAGGGGTGGCTATTTGGACCGGGACCGGATTAAAAACCGGAAACCGGACCGTATAACCCGGACCGTTTAAGACCGGGACCGGATTTAAAACAATCCAATCCCGTCTTTGGTCTTAGAAATAGCAAAAAAACCGGACCAATCCAATCCGGGTCAAAACCGTATTAAAACCGGAAGACCGGATAACTAAAATAAGCCCAAGTGCAGGCCAAGCCCACCCACTACAAGTCTACAACTCGGCCCATTTTCCCCTCCCTCCCAGGCCCAGCCGAGATTCTCTGTCAAAGCAGTAGCCTAGAGTTTGATTAATTGATTTCCCTTTGCTTGCAAAGCAGCAGTCGCCACTCCATCCTCCCGCAGCCAAGCTTCTCCTCCATCCTTCCACAGTCGGCGGGTCGCCGCTCCACGCCTCTACCAGGCTATTGTCGCCGGCGCCATCCGACGCTCCACCAAGATCTCGTCCCCGGTCGCCATCCGCGCTCCACGACGTCGTGACCCAGCCCGGCCGCCAGCACACGTTGCGACCCACCTCCTCTCCGACGCCAGACGCTCCACCAACCTCTCGTCGTCGGTCGCCATCCGCGCTCAGTGACCCAGCCAGCCTCCGTCCTGTCCTGTCTCATCGACCCGTCGTCCGTCGCAACCAATCCAACCTCCGCCCTCCACTCCATCTCGTCGGCTCGTCGTCCTCGGTTCGTCGACCAGCACAGCCGGCAGCAGCCTCCAAAGTAAAAAATATGGAGGGGAGTAATGGGTATATGCTGCTGAATTTTGTGCAACATGGTCAAAATGGGTCAAAACAGGTCAAAACCGGATTGGGACCGGACCGTGTCAAAACCGGACTGGGTCAAAACCGGACTGTACCCAATCCAAGCTTTGGTCCCTATATTTCCAAAAAGACCGGACTGGACCGGATCAATTTGGGCCAATTTAACCGGACCGGACCGTATAGCCACCCCTAACCCTAACCATATACTTTATATCCTAAACAACAAACTGTCAAAGATTACTTATCAAGTTAGTATAAATTGTTGTAACTAATGGTTAATTTATTTATTAGCTCATAAACAATTACATACATATATATATTAGCCTTCAAAGCATATAAGAATAATTTTAACTAGTCATGCCCTCCATATAAAAGTTAAAGATTCATATTTCAAAAGCTAAAATTATGAAAACCCAAAAAATTGAAAACACCAAATTTGTTTCCTTCTTTTTTTTCCACAAAAATACTAAAAGTTCCCTCCTTTCTACTTCCATACATTAGAAAACTCAATTTTCCCTCCTCTTTCTCTTCCATAAAATTGAAAGAACCAAATTACCCTCTTCTTTCCTTCTACAAAAAGTTGAAAACTCAAAAGTTTCCCTCCTTATTTCTCTTTCATAATCAAAAGAATCAAATTTTCCCACTTCTTTCTCTTCCCAAATATCAAAACCACCAAAATTCTCACTTGTTTCTTTTCTAAAAAATTCAAAGAACCAAATTTCCCTCTTCTTTCTCTTCCCAAAAACTGAATACACCAAAATTTTCCTCTTCATTTAAAAACATCAAATTACCAAATACATTACTTTACTTTATTTATATTTAATTGATAATTTTATTGAATAGTTAAATTAACCAAAATTTTAATTTATATATTATATTAATATTGTCATGATCTCAAGTGACCTTCATGTTTCAATTTTTGTAATTTTCTTAAAATACGTAATATCAAGTGAGTTTCATATTTTTTAAATTTCCTATACGAAATGAAAAAATAATTTTACTTAAGTTTAGAATGAAAAAATTTATTTTGAAAACTATGTATTGTATATTTTTATAATGATTCAAGTGGATTAGATGAAATTCGGGTTGAGTCGGTCGGGTTACGGGTTAGTCAGGTTCGGGTCAATCGGGTACGTGTTAATCGGGTTGCAGGTCAGTCGGGTTGCGGGTCAATCGGGTTCGGGTTAATCGGGTTGCGGGTCAGTCGGGTTGCGGGTTAGTTGGGTTGCGGGTCGGGCGGGTTGCGGGTTGTTGACTTTTAGTCAATTCGGGTTGCGGTCGGGTTGCGGATCGGGTTGATCGGGCGGGTTAATCGGGTCGGGCTATGTTTTGACACCTATAGTTATGAGGATGGGTATTTATTCCCGCTCCGAACCCAGTCAATATCAATATTAAGCCACATTCAATCTTCTAAAAATTGGGGGGACATCTTAATATATTACTTGTTAAGGGGTTTAATTTCCAACAAATCCTAGATATATGGTTCTTTGGCTTGATCTAAAACAAGAACTCTAATTGGGCAGAGTATAAATACTTTAGGCAAATCTTATATTGACAAAGCAGGAGAGAAATCCATATTTCATAAGAAACAATTCAATATTAACCAACAAGACGTGTTTTAGGGTGAAATAGAGGAGTTCTTGTGAGTGATGTAAAGATGAGGGACCTATTGAGAAATCATCATGATGCTCTTTAAAATTAAAATCGTGCGGGGTAAGCCCAAAGCGGACAATATCTTGATCAGTGAAAGAGTTGGAAAGTTACACATAGTATGCTCTCGTTTGAGAAAAGATAGTTGAGAACCGCGAACAAGGGTTTGACCTAGTCGTACCACTGGTCTTATACTTGGAGATCTCATGATCGAATCTATTTAATAACACCTAATTATAAAAATTAATATATATATCACCCTTATCAAAGAGACTATAGTTGACAACCAATTTTTTTCCGGTACACGTCGTGTGATATGTTATAAACGCGCTGCTACGGATCGGAAAATCGTTGGAATCGACAAAGCAAGAATATGAAAGCGAGAAACAAAAACACGACACGCGATTTACGTGGTTCACTACCACGATGTGTGTTAGCTACGTCCACGGGCGAGAGAGAGCCCGTTTCACTATATCGAGGAGATTACAAATTACAGAGAAGTATGAGAAGTATTTATAGTACTTCTCCATGTGGGTCTAAACTTAATCCAATCTGACAAAGGAAACGGTTACAGACCAGGCCCAGAACCCGAACCCAAATGGTCAGCGATACCCCTGACTAATCCAGTCGTATCGGCTGATAGTCCGATTCAGAGTCACATCAACATGATCC